CCATGTGTTAGCTCAGTCTCCTGTGCATGAGTCTTCTCTAAGTCTTACACTAGCTTGAGTATTTTTGAGTTTTTATGTTAGCAGTGTCTCGAATTTATCTTTTATTTATAAAGCTAAGACAAAATATGTACATAAATATAGAAAGAAAAGGATTTTCTTTCAAAAGTAGACACGTTTCAGTAGGATGGTCTCTAAAGAAACACAAATCCAGCTTCATCCAGTGCAATTGTTCAGATGAAACAACTGCAATGTTTGCCTTGAGGTCTTTTCTGAGTACTAGTTGTTAAATGAAGGATGTGGTTTAGATTCACAGAATCACAGACTGGTCGAGGTTGGAAGGGACCTCTGATGGTCATCTGGTCCAACTCCCCTGCACAACCAGGGCCGCTTAGAGCTAGTTGCCTAGGACCACATCTAGACTTTTTTTAAATATCGCTAAGGAGGGAGGCTCCACAACCTCCCTGAGCAACCTGTGCCCATGCTTGGTCACTGTCATGGTACAAAAGTGTTTCCTGATGTTCAGAGGGAACCTGCTGTGTTTCCCTTTGTGCCCATTGCCTCTTGTCCTGTCACTGGGCACCACTGAAAAGAGCCTGGCTCTGTCCTCTTTGCACCCTCCCTTCAGGTAATAATAAGATCCATGAGGACCCCTGGGTCCTTTTTTCTGCCAAGCTGCTTTCCAGCTGGGTGGCCCCCAGAATATGTTGGTCCATGGGGCTGTTATTCCCCAGGTATAGGACTTCACATTTGTCCTTGTTGAACTTCATGAGGTTCCTGTCGGCCCATTCGCCAGCCTGTCAGGTCCCTCTGAGTGGCAGAGAGACCCTCTGACATACTAGCCACTCCCCTAGTTTTGTGTAATCAGCAAACTTTCTGAGGCCACACTCTGGCCCATTATCCAGATCATTGATGAAGGTGTTAAACAGGACTGGACCCAGTATTGACCCCTGGGGCACAGTGCTAGCTACTGGCCTCCAAATAGACTTTTCACCACTGATCGCCATCCTCTGAGCCCAGCCATTCAGCTAGTTTTCAGCCACATCACTGTCTGCTCATCCAGCCTATACATCAACAGCTTGTCTATGAGGATCTTAGGGGAGACAGTGTCAAAGACCTTACTGACGTCCAGGTAGACAATATCCACTGCTCTCCCCTCATCTACTAGGCCAGTCATTTCATCACGGAAGTTTATCAAGTTGGTCAGTCGTGACTTCCTCTTGGTGAAGCCACGGTGGCTACTCCTGATGATTGTCTCATCCTTAAGTGCCTGGAAATAGTTTCCAGGGTTAGCTGCTCCATCACCTTTCCAGGGATTGAGGTGAGGCTGGCCAGCCTGTAGTACCCTGGGTCCTCCTTGGCCTTCTTGAGGACAGAAGTGACGTTTGTTTTCCTCCAATGTTTGGGCACTTCTCCTGGTCACCATGATCAACCAAAGATTATTGAGAGTGGCCTTGCAATGACATCTGCCAGCTCCCTTGGCACTCATGGGTGCATCCCATCTGGGCACATGGACTTGCTCAGGTAGCAAGTACAAAGTCAACTTAATTAACAAATAACCTCATCTCCATCATTGATATGGAATTTTTGTTTGAAATTACTATAAATAATTAAGGCAGATAATTGTCTCAGTAGCTTAGGTCATATTCTCTACCACATGACTGTCTCTGCCTCTTCTCAAAAATCAATAATCTGGCATTTCCTGTTTAAATTTTACATCTTCTTGACCTTAAATTATTTCTCTAAATAAGTGTTTATTTCCTTAAATGTCATAGGTATGAATAAATATTTTCATTTCTATAAGAAATAATTAATTCCACTTCCCACTCCATACCCCTGTTCTTCTATCTTCCCTGTGAGCATGCAATCTGCAAGCTAACTTTTGTGAATGGTTAAAAAGGAGCAGCTTTACCCTGCCTTGGAGATGTAGTGATATAGAATTTGGGCAGGGTGCAGGCAGCTCTGTTCAGGCTTATGGTATCACAGACACCCAAACAGTGTCTCACCTTGGCAGTGGTAGATGTGGACACTTGGTGGATGAGGTGGGGTTGTTCTGTCCTTTGAGCTACAGATGGGTTGGATTACTCTACTAAAAGCTGAGGCGGTGGTCAGTGACAGGACGCTTAAGAGGCAGTAGACGTTTTAAGTACAGGAGTCCTGTTAGAGAAGAAGACTTGCCCTGGGGGGAGCATGTTCCTCCTCCCTGAGAAGCTAACTTTGGACAAAGTGGAAGTGGAAATAATACTTAGCTATAAACAGTTTTAAGTGTGTAAGTTTTCAGTATGTATGGCACAGGGAAACAGAAGTCCTTAGGCTGTTGTGTGTAAAAATAGGAAATATGTAGACTGGCTGATGTGAAGTGGGATATCGCTACACCACTTAAATTTTATTTCAGGAAACAATATGTAAGCTTCCTTTAAAAACAGTCAGGGAAAGGCAAGAAAAGCCATTGTCACCCACATACAGATGTTTTCTATTTTTAAATGTAAATAAGGAGCTTGAAATGATGTGATTTATTTTTAGAAGAAGTTATATGAATCCAGACAACCATGAAATCTTAAAGAAACAGCTCTATTATATCCTGTGTCATAAACAGGTGAGTTTGCCTGAAAATTGTTTGCAGCTCAAGAGTAAGTTGTTGTACTACTTGCAAAAACAGACAAGAGTTTGGAAATGACACAAGCCAAGTGATTTAGAGCGGGTGAAAAAAGTACATTTTCAGGGAAAATTTGAGCCAAAGAAAAGTCCCTTTTCCTGCTGAACAGTTTCAAAGCACAGAATCCCTTGACCAGGCCTAATAAAGAAGCCAGTGTCTCCTGTGCATCAGTGTGAGAGCACTAAAATGAAATAGAGTGTCTAAGAATGCAATAAATCATATTGGGTCATTGCACTAATGAACAGTTTGGGCCCAGACTCCCATTAGCTTGTCTGTAGGAAGAGAAAACTGGTAAAACAAGAAAAGGACATACAGAGAGGCTCTTTGCAGGTACTTTCTTAAGCTTTTATTGTTGAAGGACACCCTTTAGCTAATTTCAGACCATTAAAAAAAATATATATATATTTGGTGATTAGTAATCAGTGGACAAGAGCAGAAAGCCCAAGTGAATAAAGCCATAAATACCTAAATCCTTGGGGTAACAGCCTGTAAAAGTGTCAAAAAGCATTGCATAAGTGACAAAAGATAGCCTCTGGTCACTAGAAGCTCCAGCACTGTTGGCACTAATCCATATTAATATATGGAAGGCATATTTTTAGTTCCTTCTAAAATGCTATCATGTATGGTTTTGCACAAGTTCAGGCAGTAAAAAAAAAAAAAAAAAAAAAGCTTTTTCAGAATTACTTGATTTTGGGAGCAGTGTCAAGTGCTGCTGCAGTGTCTTCCTAAAAGATCTGATGCTGTGGACCATTGTAAGAATCTCTCTTGGTACTCAGAAATACATTGTGTTGTTGGCTGAATTGGGTTTTCTTGTACAGGGTTGATTCACCTGTGTAAAAGCTGTATATACCCATGCAGTCAGGTCCAGAGTTTGTATTTTGACTGTGTGTCTGTGAGAACTGGAGCTGGTGTTGATCTGAGGAGAGCAGATGTTAATCGTGTTTTTCTCAAGCATTCTGTTGACCGAATAGGCATCCTCATTGTGAGAAAAGGCAGTAAAAGGCTGTAAATCTGCCTGCTCATTATGAAAAGCAACAATAGATTGATTTATGGAAAAAAAAGCAACTGTTAGGCTTAGGTAGCCTGTGTGCATGAAAACTGAATTTTACAGTGACTGGATATTACTGCTGTTATTTCTGAGAGCAATTTAGTTCTAACTTAATCACAAGAGATATTGTGCAGGCAAAGAGAGTCAGAAACTTTAGTTAGCCTGGATAGCACGTCATGATAACACAGTTGTATAAAATTTGAAGTGTAAGCATGTTTTCTTTTCAAGAGTAGGTTTTTAGATTGTTACTTCCTAACCTGATTTTTGCCGTTCCTTCTGTATGGACACTTCTTTCTTGTTTTATGTTCTCTGTTAGCATCCCCTGTGCCCACATACCAGATTTCTTCTTTGTCTCACGTACACAGGTGAGTGTGCAAGTATGTACCAACACCTACGCACTTCAAGCCACTGAGCCTAAGAAACAGCAAAAAAGTATATGAAGGCATGCAACATAGCAGCAGGAAGCAAGACTTCTCAGTATAACCACATAAGCCATAACCCCTATGAGGAACATTATACAGGATTTTTAGATGAAGTAATTGGCCTTTCTCAGTAATTTTATAGAATTTTAGAGAGAAATCTGTAAGTTTTAAACAGTAGTGGAAAAACAATGTATAGAACTGTTTGTTAAATACTGTAAACTGATTTTAACAACTCTGTTCTAAAAATCTAGTTCTCTTTTGTAAGCTGTGTGTTCCAGATACTTCCTCTGTGTAACAACGCAATCTTTCCAATTCAATCACTATTACAATCTGTAGGGTCTTAATACGTATGGACAGTGTTGGGATGAGGAGAAATCCAATAACAACAGAAAAGTTTATTTTGAATCCTGCTCTTAAGACTTGTTTTCCAAAGAAGAAGAAAGAAAACTGTCTGAGGCTTTCTGGCATTTAGTGTGGTCTGCTCAGGTCTTCTTCTGTTTTTCAATTCTACTACATTGTTATTAATTTGGAAAACCTTGCAACTACACTATGACAAGGACATAGGAGCCTTAGGTCTATTATAAACTCATTTAGGCTCCCATGTTGTATAGCCTTTCAAACAATGTGTTGGGAACTTCTTGTTAGGATATTGGCTTTAGTAAAGAACTAGACATGATATAGTAGTGTGTATGTATGTTGAGTGCATAGCAATTTCTACAATGTTTGCCTCACTGACGCTTGAAATGAAGATCTTTGAGTATTACTCTGTTCCGTAGTTTTTTTTCTTGACAGCATGCCTTAGGCAGTAACTAACAGTAAGAGTTTTAGGCAAAAATGTTTCTTACGTTACTTATTTTCTTTTTTTTTTCCTTTTAAGTCTGAACAGCCCAGTCCTGCCAGTTCCAGCTCCAGTTCCAGTTCCAGTTTTATACCATCTCAAAACAGCAGACAACAAGGTACCAACAAAGGAAAAGAAATTGAAAGGAATGTGTGAAATGAAGGGGGCAATAAAAACAGAACTGGTGGCATCTCATTACCACTTCTCTGCTGTCATTCGCAGCCTGAACTGGCCACAGTTTTGCTTTAGAGACTTTTCCTCGGGTTGTTTTCAGATGTGGCTGTAAGAGCAAAATAAAGGGAAAAAATGTGTATCTGGGAAATGGTATACCCTGTGAAGGGTATTTGTTTTGAAGCACTAAATTCATGCCAGTCACTTAACAGATGCTAAACTCAAAAGAGCTTCTGTTTCTGACTTTGTCCTTTTGCAGGGTTAGGTAGCATGGCGCCTGGCTCCATCTGAAGCCCTGCTCAGGAAGGTGTGGCTTCCTATGGGAAGCCCAAGGATGTTTGTATGTGGACCCTTTCAAGGGCCGTGATCTTCCCATACTATTGGGAAGTTTTAAGAGCATACAGTATTTACTTTAGATACATGGTATGGGAAGATGATGGTTAGACTTTAAGTTGACTTTAAGTTTGCATGTTGGTTTTCTGGCTAATAGTTACAGTTTACTTGGAACTCGGTAAAGAAATGCATTTTTCTTCCCAGAGAACTTGCTGAGGCAGGTTTTCTGTAAATAACTTGAGAATCATCCTATGTGATCTGTTAAATTACTTAGTTCCTGTTTGGCCTTTTTCCTTGGGTTTATCAGATTGTACTACTGATACATTCTTAACCAACTTTTGTTTTGTTCTTTGGATCAGGAGCATTAGAAAAGCAGCTTTTGACTAATTAAAATTGCATTTGTTTTATCCATTTATATTCCTCTGGTAGACTTGATTTAAGGTGATGAAAATACATTAGTGCCTCAGGTAGACAGTTTATTTTTAAATAAATCTACACGTGATGTATATCTGTCCTACTGCCTTTCTATAGGTGACTAGTACTGCTTTTCTAATGTGTTCTGGCAGTGTTACTCCAACTGAAAGACAGCAAGAGCTGAAGTGAACTGTGTTTGATGACTGGCTTCAGGCATTTCATTTTTACCGGAGGCTAAACAGAACCCCTTCTTGCTGAAGCCCCATTTTTGCTCTCATTAAAACCTCATTAGTAGTGTGAACTGCCCATTAAAAGCCGAAAGATTTGGATACCCTTTCCTGTATCTGTTACCTTATGTTGGTCAAAAACTGGTTGACTTGATGTTTTCTTCTGAGCAGACTGGATCCATCCATCTCTTGTGGGTCATATACAAGACATATCACAGATGGTCTTCCAGTTTTTTTTAACCTTCTCAAGAATAGATAGGAGATCTTTCCTCTGATATGAACAACTCTGAAGTGCAAGTGGTATATACATCTCCTCTTTCTTGCCACAGTAAATAGTGATTACTGCTTCTTTCTGGGAGTTCCAGTTAACTAAATGCTTTCATTGCCCAGGCTGTGCATTTGCATATCAAAGAGAATAAACACCAGGCATACTGTGGCATGTTCACACTGTATGTTGTGCTGTGGTCAGAACCCATGCTTTTTTCCCTAACTAGAAGTTACTTGCCAGCGCCACTGCTCTTTTTCCGTTGCGTTCAAACTCCAGTGCTCACTCAAGTGTCAGAAAACCACAGCATGAACTTTTTTCACCTCTTTTTGTATGAGCAGTGGGCTAACCTAAGGTTCTTCAAGTTCTTCTGCCCTTGGGGACTTACACTGATATTTCTGTTTCCTTACCAAGAGCACTTGGGCAGCTCCTAGTTTTCAGTTTCTTCTTAACTATTCTGACCCTTTAGGAGATAACAACTTCTCAAACACTTTAAAAGGTTGTTGTGGAATTTTAAGTTGTTAGCAAGAAGCAGAAGACTAACAGTGACATCACTATCAGTGCTAGAAAAAAAAGACCTAAAAATTAATGCTTTGCTGATTGTTAAGAAAGTCCACTGAGAAAGTTAGCTAGCTGGGTACAAAATGCCTATTCAGAGTCCCAGACGTGGTCCTACATTAAGAGAAAACTTGTCTGAATCACAGGTTGTTCAATGCCTATGGGGCTGTCAGTGATAGATATGTCTCAGGAGCCCAAGTTCCTTTTTCTCCAAGAAAGAGGAATAAGCCTGTTGGCAACTTAAGACACGACCGTCTGATTGTCCCAGAACACAGCAGCAAGGGAGTATCAGGGGATGAAATGCCCCCCTGCTATACTTGGAAAAAGGACAGAGGCAAGAATAATGAATTAGCTTAAGCTTGGGAGAGCTGGCTGTGTAGGGATCATGAGGAATGTGTGCTGGTTTTCTTTCTGCTTCCATTTAAGAATAAAATCAAGGACTGATGTTTTGGGTGACTTGCAAGCATAGCTACCAGTTTCCATGTTGTGGAGTTACATGCTGGTGTTTTATGCAAGATCAGCTATTCATATGTCATACTAAATTTCATTACAAAATTTGGTTTTGGTTGATTATTTTACCTTTCCTCCCACTGACCTTTTCCTGTGCTCTTTCAGCAAGAGTATGCTAATGCTTTCCTTTCATCTGTCCTTTACCAAGTCTTTTCTATTATTTTCTTCCTCCTGTATGTTGTGGAGAGGAGATGAATGCGTTCTCAGAAGCTGACTTTGGCCTATGGAGTGGAGTGAGACTCATCTGCTCTCAGTGCAAAGACAACCATCTTCAGTAGGACTTTGGTGGTGGTTGTTAGTGTCTTTGCCCAGTAAGGTGTCAGGAAACTAGCCTTTCTAGGTTAAGCCTAGCCTGTGGAAATACCCTTATGTTCTACCCTTTTATCTTTCTTGAAACATGGAATCCTTTTCCATATATTGATAATTTAATTCTCTTTTCTAACCCTTTACCTCAATTCATTTAGCTCCCTATGCCATGTCTCTCATTCACCCACCTCAACAATTAAGCTGGCCAATAAGAATGTTTTCCCAAAGATCAAAATGGGCGAATTCTTCCTTCATCCCTGTGCTGATGCTGCTGAGAGTGCCCTCTCTCTTCCCTTTTAAAGGGAATATGTTTATTACTGCTCCTATAAAAGCTGAGGAAGGAGTCCCTTCCCTCCTTCAAGGGTCAGATGATTAGATATTCAGTCAGACTACAAGTTAGCATTTGCAAATAGCTGAGCATTGTCTGCCTGAAACCCAAGCAGAAACAGAAGATGGAGCACAGATCAGTGGTGGTTGTGTGGATAAGAAGCACTTCAGTATAGCTCCTTTCCCTTGTCACCTGTACAAGTGTCTGGTCCACCAGGAATTTGCCCATCAGCACCATCTGGACTTCTTCCCAGCCAACCTTAGGGCATAAAAACAGAGCAGAGAAACCATTGATCCGAACCTGGCCAAACTGTGCCAATTTATGAAAGTTCTAGTACGTGTCTCGAATGGGCTGTACTTAGAGTTAAATGCCTTGTGGCATCAGTCTTCTTCCTTCCCTCTTCTAAGCTGCTTTTGCCCATTCTTATTTCAAGTAGCTGTAGTTTTACACTTCCCAGATGTTAAACATACTCCTCTTTCTCTAACTGTCTTTTACAGCAAAATAAATTGAGTAAAATCAAACCAAAATTCCAAACTGAATTTAATGCATTTTTACGAGCAAGTCAAGCTTTGTACCATGGAAAAGAGATAGCATGTTGTTGTGTGGGATTGATGCACTTTTTATATATGAACGTTGGCAAAGTGCTTACTTGACTTGAAATGGACCCCGAAATAAAGCTAACTATATAAAAAACAGGAAGACAAAGACTGCCTGGGCCAGTATGAGTTAGAATGATGTTAGACTCTGCTTCTCAGTACGTGGATTAACCTAACAAATGTACTCTTATTGATCGGTATGTCCCTGTAGATCTTTACTTACATATAATACCATTTGAGAAAGCAAAAAATGCTAAAACCCAGCAATGCAAAAGAATCTTGCTTCTGATAATAATAAAGTAATAGCCAATTTCTCCTGGCGTGACAGTATTTTACTTACTTCAGCTATGGTCCAGGCGGCCAATCGTGCAAACACTTGAACATATGAGTCACTTCACTATCATGAGTAAGTATATTGAAGCTGAGTTGTTCTGTGAGTAGACGATTCATGGGTAAGTCCCTGCAGCATAAGCCCTCAGTGCATTACTTCATTTGTTTAATGTTAAAGACTCTCCTCTCCCAACACTGTGCAGGGAGGGTAGTGTTCTGTTATCTACAAAGCTAGGTGAATTGCCCCTGGAACACTGCAAAGTGAACTTCATGTGTGTATTTTATTGTTTCTGTTGTCTCAGGTCCATTGAGGTCTATAATGAAAGATCTGCATTCAGATGATAATGAAGATGAATCAGATGAAGCAGATGAGAATGACAATGATTCTGAGTTGGAACGACCTGTAAATACACAAGGAGGAAGCAGGAGTCGAAGGTGAGTGTCTTGTGATTGCAAGTAGCCTGGTGGCCAAGACATTGTGCTTGTTAGTAATGAGGTGAGGTCTAATGAGAGTGCTGAGGTCTAAAGAGTGCTGAGTAACAAATGGGCAGAGAATTCAGACTCTCTTTTTAAAGCCTATGCATGTAAAACTGCCTCTTCTAAAAACTAACAGAATTATCCATTCCCAATACAAACTATTTCTGTACTAATCCATATGGTTACGATGATCCTCATTCATGTGACTTTCCTTGATTTCATGCCATTGTGACTTCAGGGGAGTAGTCATAATTACTCTCTGGCATAAATGAGATAAAATTAAGTCCTTCAATTGCTGGATGAGCTATTCTCATTATTCTCATATGTACATAGTCTCATTTTTAAGATCTCTCTGCTTACTAGTTTTAGATTAGGTTGTTAAATTGGATCAGAATCAATGAAATTTGAATTTCAAGTAATTTCTGCAGTGCATGCAGTAGGTAATGTGTAAAAGTGCAGACAGAAGGTAAAGAAAGCAGATGTCACAGAAATTACTTTTTAAAAAAAGCTTGTGCATGCTAGCTGCAACCTTAAGAGGGTGTTCCAAAAAGCATCTATTATTCGGGCAGCTTGAAGCTCCAGCTTGAAGCTGAATGTTGTTGAAGGTTATGGAAAACCTGAAACAGTCTCTCTCGAACCTTTCCATACCTGGTTCTTTATCTGATCCACAGGGTTTTGCTGTGAGTGCACAGCACCAGAGTGCTGTGTCAGCTACTGCTTGAATGGGAAGGTAATAGGAAAACACTGATGAATGTCAGCTGCTCCCCTTGTGCACTTTAGCAGCTGGAATCGAGGAGAAAAAGACCAAGATGACTATCAGTTTGAGAATTTGTTCCTGTCAGTGATTATAAAAAGGATTGTCTCAAGCTCAGTTTGTCTCTAAATGTGGTGACTTTGTTTCACTTTTTTAACAAAATCTTAAGACTAATGTTTCTCTACCTTCTTTTTATCCCAAATAACTTTTTTTCTTTCTTCCAACAAATAAATATTCCCTGTTGTTCCTAAATAAATGAAGGGTGAGACTGATTAGGAGCTGAGCTTTTTCATGTGGCCTCTCCTGAGATACTAACTTCCTAAATTTTAGCCAGGAAAAAGTGTTATTTATGATGAGCAACAAGGAACTTTTCAGTGAAACACTTGTCCAACTGGGAAGTACAGCTGTTTAGAAAGCTTTTAGAAGAGCAGAAAATTAACTCTAAAAAACATTTTCCTTCTTCCATGAGGCTATGAACCAAGATACAGACTTGCTCCAGGACCGTTCGGAACAGCAGTGTAACGTTGTAAATATCTAACCATTTCTGTAATGTTAGCTGCTGTTAACCGGTCATGTCATCTCAGCCAAATGCAGGCAGACAGCCTTGTTCTCCAAGCTACACAGAGCTTTTTTCAGGGTGCAGCCCTGCTCAGATGCCTGTCTTCCATGTGACCTTGATTAATGATGGCTTGCTTAGCAAGGGTTCTTTCTTAGTGTCCTACCTCAAAGTGCAAGCTCTGTTCACTCCTGTTAACAGCCCTTTGTCTGGAGGTGTCATCTTCTGGCTCTGTTTTTCCATAGGGTTAGTCTGAGTGATGGCAGTGACAGTGACAGCAGTTCAGCTTCCTCACCACTACATCAAGAACCAGCACCACCTTTACTGAAAACCACCAACAACCAGGTAAAGTCAGGGTTAGTAAATGCAGTCCTGGGGAGCTGATAATGACATTCTGATTACTTTGGTCCAGTTACTTAGTCTGTAAACTGACATAAAAGCTTTTTTTTTCAGGAGAAGTAGTATTTGGTTTAGCAAATACTATAGAACAAAGTAATGTTTTCATCAATATTTTAATAAATGTGTCCTTTCTGTATGAATTAGCTTTGTAAGGGAAACAATGCAAACTGGATTTACAGCATCAGTTGTACAATTGATAGAGATTTGGGGTTGTGTTAGCAGTAGACATGGTTCACATCAATAGGCTCATACTCAGGAGTTCATTCATCTCTTCCCCTCTCCCTCACCAGTGTTAATCTAGAAGATACAGGATTTTTTACTTCACTAGAAAACACAGTAGTTCTTACTTCAGTATCAGAGTACTTGTTCCGTATCTGTAAGAGCTAACTTATTTTTGAGGTAGGAAAGTAGAGTAGTTTTGTGTTTTCAGAGAAAAGAAATTAAATAACCTGAAGCTACAAAATACATCAGGGACAAATCTGAATTAGAGTTTGGGAGTTACCTCACCCCCAGTAACCAATAAAGTAAGGCTCTCTAAATACAAAAATTAAACAGAAAAGCTGATATTCTTTTTTTAAAAAACAGAATTTATACATCTTTTGTCACTTATTTTAGGGAGCCATAATTCACTCCCAGTGTCAGTTGGATCATACACAAAGTAATCATGAAATTTACTGACTGGCAATAAATGACTGCTTAGAGTATTGAAATAGTTAGAATAGTGTCTACATGTATTAACAGAAGTTTGTGGTTTAGATGGTGAATTTTATGGATAAGTTTTTCCTATATCTCTTAGGTTAACTTCTTCAATTATCTGACAGAAATTATTTATTTGTCATTGTTTTTCTAATAAGGTTTCCAATACAAACTTAGTGATAGTGCAAAACCAAAATATTATTATTCATGTTGGTTTAGTTCAAATACACTGTGGAGTTAAAAAAACTAGCAAGTAGTTTGTACACAGGGAGAGGAATGAGAGTCCGTGTCCAGAAAGCATTCTTATTATCCACCAGAAACTCTGTAGGCTTTTCTAAGTTGATCTGTACAAAAGTTACAAGTTTTTAAGAAAGAGTCTTTGGGGAAAAAAGCAAACTATAAAGATGAAGGATCTTGCATTTACTGGAGACATAAGCACAAGAAAAATAAAACACCTGTCTATAGCTTGTTGTTTAATGAAGACTAACTTCTGCAGAGGCAATGTAATTGTTAAGTAATTTTAAGTCTCAATATCAGCAGCCCACTCAGTCACATCTTTCATGTTCCTTTCCCCTTTGGTGATCTAACAGAAGGTCTACCTGTGCATTTAGAAACTCCAAGCAATAGCAGTGTGCCAGCTAAAATTGAATGTCACATACCTTCTTCTATTTTTGTAATTGAGATTAATTTTATAATTGAGCTGAAAATTAGAAATTTAGGGAAGCATTATGAGAATGCAAATTGTATGGACTGTAGCCACATTTGAAATCTCTGCTTGGTAGCATAGTGCTGCTTGCCAGGATGATGCTTTTGACTGATGACATCAGGCTTGTGTTGACTGAGTCCATTCATAGAACTAAAGAGCTAAGACAGAGTTAATATTTCTATAAGCTTCCTCAGATGTGATTAGTGCTAAACAAGAGTGTTTAAGATGTTAGATTTCAACTACACATCAAGAGCACTGTAAGGAAGCAACTTTTTCAAATATACTGTCTCTTTGCTAAGGTTCTATTTGAAACCAAGAATTTTCTTCCTTTAAAAACAAGAAAAGCATCTAAAAGGTACTGGATTCATGCCTAGAGATCTGGGGGGGGGGTTTCAAAACAAGGCTTTTTCTTCCACTGGCCTACACAGCAGTAACTCCAGGGGCTGTTCAATTGAAGAACTGGGATTTTTCTTCGGAAAAGTATGTTTTGCTTTCTGGCCACGCATCACTCTTGGCTTAGCAAATCCTTACGTAAGGTTAACTCAGATCTGCAGTCACTTTCTCTATATAGGGAAATAGCTGCCTCGCTGCTGAATTCTTACGGTGCTGGTCAACCTGGGAGGCATATACTCAATTTTATACTAAGGAAAGTAGAAATTGAAGGGAAGTTACAGAAAGCTGTTAGTGAGACTTCTTGCTAGTCTGGAACACTTGCTTTTAAGGACCTTATTTCCTTGTTTTATTTGCTGAGTTTTGTCCTGTGTTGTGACTGTCCAGCATGGTTTCAGAGATAATCATGCTAGTGATGTTAGTCTCACTTACAATGAAATGTGAAACAAAATCTCCCATCGTCTGTGATCATTTATTTTCCTTTGATGTTTTTCAGAAGAACTGATCATATTTCAGGTTAGGCACAACATGGTGATTTTTTATTTGTTTTTGACTCTACTTTTAACTTTAGAAAATGTGTGTTGTGTGTGGAAAAATTGAAAGAATAATCAACAGTTCTGTTTCCCCAAAATATTCCTCACCTTAGTCCTAAAATTTTCATATTAAGCATGGTGTTCTGCTGCTTATTGACAGGCTCTTCTTGACTGTGGTTCAGTATTGGATGAAGCATTCTTGGTTTGTATATATGATAGTAAATGGCTTTGTATGGCATTGAAAGAAGGGTACCACATAAGTACAAGAGAAATTACCATCCAACACTTTTTTTTTCAGTTACAACTCACGTGGTCATTTCAAAGACTATGGTTCAAAATTGCTATTATAGAAGAAAAGAGACAGCATTGGGGGAAAAAAAAAAAAGAACAGGAAAAATATACTGATGATGTGACATTTCAAAGGCACTGGAGAGTACCTCAGCACCATTTTGTATCTGCAAAATCAGACATCTTATCCTACCAGCATACAAAAGATACAAAAAAATTGTTGAGGAGGCTTTAAATGACATGAAATTAATTCCTTTAAGGATTAATAATATCAACATCACCTCATTCCAGCAGCTCATTTTCTGCTGTAACCTGCTTTTTTTCTGAAAAATATAAGTAGGTTGTATGGATTAAAGAATAAAAAGCTCAGTTTTGAGTTTTGATTACATTTTCCCCAGATGTTACATTCTTTGTGTTATTAATTGATAGCAGAATTTTTCATATGTAATTGTATCCAGTGATGCATTTAATTTTTACAGGATTTTCTTTCTTTTCCAGATTTTAGAAGTGAAAAGTCCAATAAAGCAAAACAAATCTGATAAACAAATAAAAAATGGGGATTGTGATAAGGTAAATGGCAATGAGGTAACAGTTAACTAGTCCAGAATGTGATATTAATGTATTTACTAAACACTAACCTTTGTTACAGAATGAAAATCTTAGTAATTAGGACATCTTTGCTTAGGGTTCCTTTAGGTGCAGATTTTTTTCTTCTGTGCAATTTTGAAAGTCTTTTCCTTCTTTTCAATACATGTGGTGATTTGGCAAATGTCACAAGTTGGGAATCTGCGATCTATTATTTATTTTATCTACTTTCTACCATGAGTTTGCATTGTGCTTCACAGATGAAGTGATAATTTTTGAAGAGGACAATTCACAGCTGTATTCCTAGCCAATAAATCAATCAATTAAAAATATATATATGTTTTCCAGAATCCTTTCTGAAGGCAGTGCATTAGGAAGTGGCAGTGTGATTTAGCATGTTAACTAGAATGGTATGAACCAACATTTAAGACTGAGAAAGACAGTTTTGTTTAAAATCATGTCAGCTGGCCATAGGTAAGAGCTCTAAGTCATTGTCTGAGTGAACATAGCACAATTTCCCAGTGTGGACAAGTTCCTCTGAAGGTTCATATTTTACAGGTATTAGCATCAACTTTGTGATAATGTGAGGCAGGAGACCAAAGTTTCAGTATCTGTTGCTAGATTTTCAGTGGCCTGGTCCATATGCTTTTTGGTTTCTTAAGCTGGGTGCTGTATCTCTCTCTGCTTGAAAGAAAAAAAGGTTTCTGATGGCTCAGGCTGAAGGAGAAAGTTGATAATTGGGTGGAGAGGTGGGACATGTTTGACATCCCAGGAAGAAGGACAGTGGAATTTACCATTGGATTAATCTTTCTTGATCTTTCTCCCCTCCTACCTCCTTGCTGACACAGAAAATTAATTATGTAGCTTTAGAGAAAGAGAGGGGTTTGATTGTGAGCCTTTGGATTTGGGTCTTATATGGAAAAATGGGAGATGTTTTTTAAAGATGCTGTTTTGGCATCCCCAGTCTGTTTGATGCTTTTTGCCACAGTTGAGATACAGACATTATCTTCTACAGCAAAGGACCACCTAATAAGATTTTCATTGGCATTAAGTATCTAAGAAAACCCACAAAAACTTACATTTGGGTTGTATTAAGCTAGAAAAAGCTAGACTACTAAATCAGAAAATTTAGCTCAAAGAAGATTTGAAATAAAATTTTCATTTGTATTGTTTTTTAAGACATCTGAAGTTTTTAAAATACATAGCTATGACTTAATTAACAAGTTGTTTATGGGGGGGGATTTGTTTCTAGGCATATCTCGATGAACTAGTAGAGCTCCACAGAAGATTAATGACATTGAGAGAGAGACATGTACTGCAGCAGGTGAGGAGCACCCTCATGCAATATCACAGTGTGCTCGTTGAAATTGTGAAGTCACATCTATTTTTTTGCCTTCATCTAAAACTCTATAATAATCAGGTTTAATAACCTTCAGGCCTCTATAATCCGTATACAGCCCATCACCGCTTTCAGTATAGTTTAGGGAATTTTTACACATACTTTAAATTGTGTTGTCACACTAAATGACAGATTTTTAAAAAAATGCCTATCTGAGCTAAATTTTTCACCAGTTCTTTGTTACATTTCTCAACATACTGTATCAGTAATTATGAAAACAGGATGGGAGAATGGATACAGCTGTGCACCATAACTTGATAAAAATCGTGTTGCTTTCTCCTGAAAATGACCGGTGCTTTCTCAGAAACAGTTAAAAATGTTTTCTATGGCAAACAGAAAACATGGAACTCAAAGCAAAACTCACTTTAGGGAGAACCACAATGTATTTATTGAGTCTTCTGAAGTCATGGAATGAGTAAAATATGAAAATGTGCAAACCAAGAAGGCTCCAAATTTATTGAAAGGTTACACAATTGTAAGAACAAAGAAGAGTATTCTTTGTTTTGGGCAGCATTGTCAGGTACTATTGAATTACAAACTGTGAAGATTAAACAATAAGTGCTGTTAACAAAGCAGATTTAACTGTAGCACAAATGGTTTTATTAGGTTTAGTGCAATTATGTGCCAGGGAAATTTTTACCACTTCTAAATGACTGCAATCACACATCAAATTTCTCAACATTGCATAAGCGTGTTAAAAATATTTTGTAAGCCCCAGCATTAACCTGTTCATTAGTTCAGGCTCAGTATTTTGAGTGAAGATGAGAAAACAACTGAGACATCAGTGAAAAGGAAGACCTTGGTTAAGGATATTCTTAGTTAAAGAGGAATTCTGACAGCTTTGTCAGATTTCATAAGTTACAATACATAACGATGCATATTGGTTATCTTTCATATTTAATGTACTGTTGTTTCTCAGGTTCCCTTTTGTCTACAAAGGGAACCAAAGCACACTTTTAGAATGCTGGCAGAGGCAAATTTGGGGGAAACTGCTGTGCAGGAGACTAAAAAGTAGGAATTGCAACACCCTGTCCACTTTACATTATTTGTTAATTCTTAGAGAGTTCACATAAAAAGTGAATCTGAAAAAGCCACTGTGTTGTAAATTCACACCCTATCTTTGCTTCCTGAGCGCTTATTTCCCCAGTTATCCAAGGCATAGCTTTTGAATGGTTTTCACTTCTGGTCGACCTCTGTAGCCAGTATTACGCAGCTACCAGCTATCAGTACGGAACTGCACCACTGTCCTAGCCTGCACAGTCCAGCCATAAATCCAGCTTTACTGGGGCTGTATTGACAGCCTGCAGAGCATAGGGCTTAGGTGGTTTCATGTGAAATCTTGAAAAAGAAAACCATCTTCAAAATCTGTTATGCAAAGCAAAGATAAAAACATGCGAGAAACGTTTTTTCCCCATGAGGGTGGTCTAACAGTGGAACAGACTGCTGGAGAGACTGTGCTGTCTCCATCCTTGAAGCTTTTAAAATCCTGACTGGATAAGCCCAGAGCAGCCTGATCTGATCCCATGGCTGAGCCTGATGGGGGCAGGGCTGGCACTAGCAAAACCCCTTCCAACTGGAATTCTTCTGTCATCCTAAGAAATATTTTCCAAGCAAACAGCATGGTTCAAATTGAATCCATAATCCTCTTGCTCATCTAGTAGCATTTAAGTGTGTTTGGTGGGGAAGAAATATTCACCTTTGTTAGAAAAATGATGGGTTCATCCACTAAAGCTTCTTCAGTCTGATGTTAAGAGTACTGTTATAATCTGCTTCATGGGAAATAACTAATATAAGGAAAAACTGTGTGAAAAGAGACATAATTGAGCTGGAAATTTGGAGTATCCTATTCTGAGTAAATGAAAGAAGGACAGTATATTCTTGTGCGTTTTAAATTAAAGAGAGACCTTTTCTTTTCTCCTGAGTGTATTTATCAGACAAGAGAAAGCATTCATTCGTTGACCTTTGCCTCACAACTCTCATGAAGAGTATGAGTTTAGTACTGTAGTCCGTGACTGCTTGTAGCCTAGTGTTTAAAATAGTTAGGTTGATGTAGAATCAATGTGGCCTTGTTTTCTGGGGGACTGTTCTTGCAGATTGTTTCCCTTTGTTTGGAGTGTGTGTGCTGTTGATACAGCCCCAGTGAAACCTGGATTTATGGCCGGACTGTGCAGGCTAGGACAGTGGTGCAGTTCTGTACTGAGAGCTGGCAACTGTGTAATACTGGCTACAGAGGTGTAGCAGAATTCAGTGGAAGAACCAAGTTACTTGCCAATTGTTTGTTAGCCAGTCTGCACTAGCCAATGGTCTATGCTGTTATAAAACAAATAATGCAGTTTAGTTTTAAAGTCTTTAATCCCTTAATATTCTGCAATTCATTAATTCATATGATTTGATAAGTTTACAGAAATATGTTCACAATATTGAATGGATGACTTGCAGAGCATCAGTGCCTCTGCATTACGAATAAACTGTCATCCCATCTTTAATGTCCTTACTGCTTTACAGCTATGTAATTAATGTAAAATATTTCCAGTGAGCACAAAAATAAAGAAGTACAAAGCTGAGAAAGTTTTTAGGAATGAATGTGAAACTTCTAGACCAAGAAATACAAGTATATAAGCACTACAGAAGGTACAAAGGTCAGGAGAGCAAGGGGTAAAACTGTGGAAAGGGATGGTGGTTACTACATGAGAAGAGGGATTGAGCACAAAAATATGCAACAGAAAACTGTGAATAGCTGCAAGAGTTTTAAAGCTGGTGGCGGCGTTGAAGTGGAATGGTGGTGGAGTTGTCTGTTTCTGAGTGGTGATTGTCATCTCTTTAGTTTATGTCAGGGCAGGTAATAATCTCTTGCACGTGTCAAAGTCTGCTACCCACAGACTTCTAGGGAATTTTTAAAGAAGGAACTTGCAAGAGAAGAAAGACAGCATTGATCATTCAAAAGCGCTGGCTTTTGAAACTTATGCTGAGGAATGTGAGAAGGAGGGGACAGTTTTTTGCAATCTCAGTTGTTACCAAGTCCATAGGCATGACAGCAAACAGGAATGCAGCCAAGTTGGAAATGAGAAAAATGTATCTGTTTGAGAATGTGCCTCTTTCCCCAAGAGAGGTATTTGTCTTTGAGACACTTTGTTAAAGGAAGCTGAAATAAATCCACAAAAAAGAGAGAGGGGGTAGGAGAGGTGTAATACTGAACTGCAAGTGCCTGGATATGTAGCTAAGTAATCCTGATGTAAAATGATACTTGCAGATATATAAGAATTGCCCAGGAGGGAGAAGGCAGGTGAAAAAGAACATTTGACCCAGAAATTAGTCCTGTGAGAATTACCTGAGCAATTTTTATGTGAATACTGGGCCATGGCTAGACAGAAATTGGTCTGAAATTACATTTTAAAAGAAATATCTCTCCCATCTCTTTCACTATGAAGAAAGGGTTTGGGATTTATGGTGATGAGGGGTTTGGTTTTGGTTTTGTTTTTTTTTAAAAACTCTGTGATTTCCAGTGAAATAGTAGAGGTAATTGAGTCTGCAATCAGATGTTAATGCTGCATGTCCCATATATTCAAATTTGGCTGGCTAAAGCTGGGTTCTTAACTCTGCATTTTCAGTGCAGATGATGTTAGCATGACCCCATGAAAGGCAACAAGATTTCTGGTAAGACTTTCCCTCTTATGTTGAGGCATCAAGTCATATCTTCATCTGGTGAAAAATCTCCTTAAAGCCAGCGCACTAGACAGCACAGGCATAAGGAAGAAATTGAGAGTATGCAGCACTGCTGAAGATTACATTGCTTGTGTCCACAAGGTGCTTAACTTCAGATGGCAACTATCTTCTGAGAATTTTCTGCAAGGGGCAGCTTGCAGGTCTGGAAACTATCACATGCCCTAAAACCCTCCATAAATTGAAAAATGACTATGTCATTAGTTGCACTTTGGCTTCCTTAAACACACACATTCATTTTCTTGTTTAAAGGCAGATAAATAGTTGTACTATGGTGGATAATGATGGAACTGAGCTGGAGAGACATGTAAACAGAGATGTACATTACAGCAGAAAAATAAAGCTTGCTACAGCAAGAACAAATGGGATATTTTTGTTCTTTGCAGCCTGAGCTCTTGGAATAAAGCAGTTTAATGCTGTGTTTTTAATATCATAACTGCCAGACTTCCTGGCAACTAATCTCAACCTTTTATTCTTTTTCAAGTATTTCTGAATAGCATAAGGATGCGCATGCTAATACTGTAAGTCATGAATTCCTCATTGACTGGCACACAGGCAGGTGTTTTTCATTGAGCTGTCTGGGTTTATCTTGATACACTTTTGTACATCCATTAAAATATTTGGGGTTCATTTCAGTCTGATTTACCAGGTGCCCTGACATAGTGGCTATATTTCTTGAGGGCTGGATGAGGGATATGTTTAAAATGTTTGTATTTCCCTTGGCCTAGAGCTTAAAAGCCCAAAGCAGAACCTGGTCAATAGAAGTGCTTATCAATTTTTTTAAAATATACAGTGCTGTTTAAAAATACATGTGTTAACACTTTTATGTAATCTTTGTTTCTAAAATCAGTTTTATTGCTGTGGGGGTTATGAGGGGTCATATTCTTCCACCATAACACAAGGAAGCATTAGACAGAATTGTTCAGCGTAGCTACATTTTCATGGCCTCAGTTTCTGTAAACTTCTTGTGCAGCCATTTATTTATCGCACAGTAGATATTCAGAGAACCAAACCTAAGATTAGATTCCTAGCTTTACAGAAGAAGGCTGGATTGAGTCCTTAGCTTCTCTCTTAGATGAGGCCCAAGAGAGTGCCAAAAATGAGAATGACAAATAACACATATCAAAGTTTCCTTCTGGTAACAATCAGTTTTGTCCCATTTGATTTTTTTCTCTTGTGTTAATTGCAGAACAGTAGGAGGTGGAAAAGTGTTACAAGAATCTGTGAATCAACAAGTGGACAAATGAAATTGACAACTTTATATTAAAAATTCCCATATGGAAAAAAATTAGAGCCAAGAGGCACAGGTTTAAATGAAGTGTTAAAAAGAGCAGGATTGTTCCTAAGTACTTTCAGAATTTTGGACAGCTGCAAACCAAATTAAACAGATTTTACTTTTATTTTTTTCCAACCTGGAAAATGGGAGATGATTGGAAATGGGAATTTTTACTGTAACAGGCATTTCCCTCCTATTATTTTATCTGGTTTTCATTCTGTTTAATCCACCCTAGGCTGTGTCATTCCATGCCTGACAATACACTTGAAGTTATTTCATTTATCATCTACATAGTCTTTTCTTCTGTGGTCTGACAAGAAAAAAAACATCTGCTTATATAATGAAATGGGGAGCAGAAAATTACAAAAGATTTAGCTTAAATTAATTTTTCTTTTTCAAGTTGGTATATTCCTACCAGATTTGTCATTTTAAGGTATGCTCTGTAAGCCATGTGTGCGTACATCTGTATCTCCTCGAGCTGTGGGAAAGGAATTACAGTCAGAGTAATAAAGCTCAAACAAGCAAGGAATAGCTAGCATCAGTGTTTTGAGTGGAGGTATATGTGGAAGCCCTAGAACTAAATGGGTTTCAAACTGAAGGGTGCAAACAGGATGTTGAACCTAGCCTGAGTGCTGCAGAAGGGATGGTTGGACAGACTGAGCAGAAGAGGAGTGTTCTGTCAGGCCATGACACTACCCAGAGGCCTGCTTCAGGATAGGGTGCCTTTCTGTGTGCTCACTTGGGATGTCTGTCTCTTGCAATGAAACAGTGCATAAGAGCTTCATAGCCATAGTGTGTTGGCATTGTGTTAGCCCTACCTGACAAATAATGCTTTGGCTCTCCAAGATGTTGAATGGGTTTTTTAGGTAGGTACACATCCTATCACTTAACATATCTGGAGTTACTTGTTACAGCAATTCAGTGCTGAGTATGACCGCTCTTTAAAAATGTAGACTTCAGTTGAGAGACTAAAAATGTCACAACTCCAGAAAGGCACAATTTAGATATGTACTGTTGATTTCACAGAATCATAGAATGGTTGAGGTTGGAAGGGACCTCTGGAGGTCATCTGGTCCAACCCCCCCTGCTGCTCAAGCAGGGACATGTAGAGCCAGTTGCCCAGGACTGTCAGATGGCTTTTGAATATGTCCAAGGATGGAGACCCCACAACCTCCCCGGGCAACCTGTGCCAGTGCTCTGTCATCCTCATAGGAAGAAAGTGTTTCCTGCTGTTCGGAGAGAACGTCCTGTATTTCAGTTGGTGCCCATTGCCTCTGGTCCTGTCACTGGGCACCACTGAAAAGAGACTGGCTCTGTCTTCTTTATACCCTCCCTTCAGGTATTTGTATACATTGATAAGATCTGCCCTGAGCATTCTCTTTTCCAGGCTGAAGAGTCCCAGCTCTCTCAGCCTTTCCTTGTAGGAGAGATGTTTTAGTCCTTATTCTTCTCAGGAACTCCTAACAGCTCTTCTGTTTGCTGTTTGAAAGCTGTGATTATATATTAAATAGTCACCAGAAGTGAACTTATGCCATTGGTAGGAGTCTTTCATGGTTGATTTAGTTTAAAAAAATTTGATTTAAGTCTGCTACTCAAGAAATAACTGCTGGTATGTGAACTAACAGTTGATGTGAGAGCTCTTGAATACACTTTTTTTTGTTTGATATGGACTAGATTCTATAAGGATTTATTTCTTTCCCTTGCTTGCAGGAAGGCTTATGCCAATTATTTTCTAAAGTAACCTGCTTAGCAGCTATGCACACAGTAAATATTCCAGACAGAGATATACCTGGGGTTTTTTTATTTGTTTGGGCTTGCAGGGGGAGGGAGGGACTTTTTTTTTTTTCTTTTTTCTTTTTTTTAAAGACTGACTTAGAAAGTATGCAGATTTTTCTTTTTAACATTTGAAAAATATGTCCTACATGGTTATGTTTGCTGGAACAGCAGATGGGTAGGCTGGCATTATGGTTGGTGATGATCTAAAACAAAGACAAACGAGGCACTGTAGTCTGGACCATAGTTGTGCCAGAAAGGAAGTGAGTGATAAGGATAATGGTTTAACCTGCAAGTGTTGGGGCAGTTGGGCTTGTTTTATGCCATTCATACGATACTTAGTGGCATGTTAATATATGCAGTGGGCATGTAAAACTGCTGAAATTTTCAGCTGTGTCTTTTTTTTCCTTTCAGATAGTAAATCTTATAGAAGAAACTGGACACTTTCATATCACAAATACAACCTTTGACTTTGATCTTTGCTCACTGGACAAAACCACAGTCCGTAAACTACAGAGTTATCTGGAAACATCTGGAACCTCCTGAGGATTCAGCATCTGGCTGCATCAAAAACTGTTCTTTAAATGAAACATTCAGAACGATGCAACCAAAATGGGGAGAAAAAAACAAAACAACCCTCTTCAGCTTTATTTTTCCTTAAAGCCAGTCATCATCTCTTGATAACGGAGAGGAAAAGTGACAAGACTCAGAGGACTGCTCTTCTCAAGAAGAAAATGCTCTGGAAGAGTTTGCCTGGATAGCCTTGAAAAACAAACACACAAAAACAAACAAAAATACTTGGTCTTAATGAATGTGTATGGTATCATGTATCTCTCTCTGTGGTGTTCCAGTCCACAAGATGAATGCATGTTCAACACACTGCCTTATTACCTAACTGATCTATTTATTATTGCGTACATGTATTCTGAAGTCAATGAGTCATTGAATGACACTACCAGACGTTGCAAGTAGTGGGGTCCCATGTGTGCTCTTTTGATGCAGTACTATCACAAGCCTAGTGACCTTATTCATGTGAAAATGCCACTTCTTGCTGTCTTTCTCTAGTCACTTAAAACACTAGTCTTGTTTCCACTTCTGCAGTTCCAGGAAACAAGATACAAAGTTGGGGACCAAAAGCAGTCCTATATTTTGTATCCTGTCTGCCACAGTGGGGTGGATCACAGAAGGTTGGACTGCAGGTCCTTGGTTCTATCCATTTATTGATCTTGACCATGGTAGAAACTGCACCAAATAGGATCATATGACTTGCTGTCTAGCCTTAGTGAGTAAACCAGTAGGACTTTTAACAAAAGATTTTATGTATACTGTCCTGAATCCAGCATCTTCTGCAGTCTACATTCTTGTGTCTGTTTTAATGTTATAAAGTTACATATATATAGGAGTGAAGGTGTTCTTCAGGATCATCATAAAAGAAGAAATACTGGTCCTGTCTTCTAAGGAACTGTTGTAGAAAATTCTTAATTTGGAGCTATTTATTACTACAAATTTCAGTAGTCCTCTGCTGCCAGTTTATGACTCACTGTTGCCATAAAACTATTTGCATAACATTTTTGTTTGTTCATATAGTATATGGTCTTCTTAGTTTGTTTGGGGATTTTTTTTCTGGTTTTGTTGCTTTTTTTTACAACTGCTAAATTAAAACCCTTTATTTGAAAAGAAAGAAATATGTTATTATACAGTTACATGTTGGAATAAATACATATATGATGTGTCGTGTATATGTGTATACACATATATACGCACCTGTGTGTGTGTGTGTATATATATATATACACACACACACATGCATATATGCTTTTTACACTTTCTAGATTTTGGTATCTGTTCAATAACCTGCTTGTGTTTCCAGAAGGATTTCTTGTCTATAAAAATGAGTATTCTTTCATACCATCTGTTATTCCTTAAAATCGGGATCCTTGTTTATGCATGATCAAATAAGAGGCTGTCTACTCAGTTTCACATCAAAGCTCCATGCTCTCCTATTGCTGATGGTTTCTTGATGAAATCATCACCCTTCTATTACAAATTCAAACCCCCCAGTGAAAAGAGAAAAGAATTAAGAAAATACTTCTGGATGCAAAGATTTATTCAGGTGTACCAGCCTTAAAAAATGTATCTTGTTTCTGGACAGGCCAGTATGTCATGTGTATGCTTATATGCCACATGTAGTCTGTATGTGTAGAGCTGAACAGTAGTATCTGTATGACTTACTGTTTCATGCACACAGTCTGTGCAGCACTGTAAAACTAAATTCTTATTGGGGGTATTTCTTATTCCAATCGTAAATCTTAATACTGTTTCTTTAAGTCCAAAGAAAATTTTACACTTCACTGTTTTTGAAAGGGCAGGATACAGATTGGGTTGGGGGGCTTTTTTCTTATTTAAAATGTTGTTTGACCACACTCTGCAGGAAGTTCTTCTCAGGCTTCCCAAGAATAAGTGTACTTTTTCAGTAATGTTATGACTCTTATCGACGATTGGCATGAAGCATACTTGAAGCGTTATGTTGTTCTTTTAAGTCCATGTCTTAATGTGCAATTGGGAGGAGTGGGAATGTAATTTTAAAGTTACTTTTGACATCAGGCAGGTAATGGTGGGGAGGGGGAAGGGATGCATGTGAAGGGGATAAACTTCAATTTTTATTGATTATTTTATATAAAAATGTTTGGAAATCTAAAAGCAACCTTAAAAATGTTTGGTCTACTAGTGTGTGTTCAACTTCCTATCTTTTAGTTACACCAGATACATATGGAATTTTGTCCATTTTGACTTTTCTAACTAAGTTTTGTGGTAAAAAACTTACTGAGTTTCAGGAGGGGAAGAATCCCATGATACTTCTAGTATGTATGACTGTTGCACTGTTTTGTTAGAAATGGTGAAATGAATAATTTTACCCTTAAAATACTAGATAAGCCTTATTACACACTGAGAACAGGGGTGGAAGAAAACAACAAATAGGAGAATAGGCATAAAAGGGAGATGACAGCAATTACAGTATCAAGTTAGTGCTGGATTTCATGCAAATTGTGGATCATCCTTAAACTCTTAAATTTTCTAATTCAGTGGGAGAGGGAAGAAAATAGGCTACAGTTGTGTGTGTGTGTGTGTTGGCTTTTTCACAAAATTCTGATAGAATAAGAGTTACGAAGTGTTGATCTAAATTAAAAAAAAAAGCTATTTTAATCTAGTTTTGTATGCAGAAGCACAAATCCTTGTTCACTTAAGTTCAGACATTCATATTTCTCTTAAAGAAAAAATAGTAAGATACCTTTCCAAGTCTTTAACGTATATGAACATTGATCTTTGGGATGGGTTAAAATGTTTTCACTATTAATGTTTTGGAATTTTACTTAACATCAAGCTGTGAATATTTGGTGCACCTTAATTGATTGAGATGACCAGACAGAGGTTAGTAGTAAGTTGCAATGCCTAAAACATCATTTTCAGTGTGAGTCACTGTTATTAGAACAGTAGTTGGTGTCTAATAGTAAGGACAGTTTTCATCTCGTCACTAACTTTTCACCTCAGGAAGTGGATGTCCAATTGGGTAGACAAGTTAATATCTTTTTAGAGGTTTGAATCCACTGAGAGGCTTTACAAAAATTTCAGTATCATCTAGATTTGAGTCCATGCTAAAGAGAAAGTGCAAGAAAGGAGGAGGGGGGCATACACTGAAGTGAGGAGGGTCTTCCAAGGTAAAACAAAACCTGTGCTCTGTCTTCAGTCCTTGGACTGTAAGAAATGGTTGATCGTTTCTCTCTCTCTTCGTTTCATTGGTTGGGTGGTTTTAGGTTAAGTCTACGCTTTCAATTTCAGAAGCAGAGTACACATGGTACAGTGCATTTGGAGAGCCCAGTATATTTCTGTTAGTTTCTTTTAGTCCGAAGGAAGGAAGGTACATGTTCTTGGGTTTTGCACTTCTTTCCCATTCTCACATTGAAGTAAACTATGTTTACAATCTGGTTTGTGTCCTTGGCCCTTACTTAGTAAGTATCATTGTTTTCTTAGAAGCTATTCTAGTGTTTTGGGGTCTCTTGAATGACCCGGTGATTTCAAGCCCCATTACTTAGTTTGCAAAATTAATGGGAAAGCTGTAGAATGGTCTGAAGAGGAAAACTGCCCTGTTAAGTTGTTGTATGCATTATCTTACTCCAGACACTGCTCTGATGGTAAGATTTTGATTTGCTTCATACTATCTTTGTTCATACACATTATATCCCATCTTACCACTTGCAGTTTAATGGCGAACAGTGTATCTTTTAGCAAACTTTTGTTTCCAGTCTATAGAGGGACTTGTTATTCTTCTGTTTGCTTATTAGTCTATTGATTTGCACAGTTTGCTGTAGTGCAATACACTGAAATTAAGACTTTTGGTGAAAATTTTGTCAGACTTTCAGCCACAGCAGGAGCTAGCAGGAACTGCAAAAATAAGCAGTGCAAAACATGTTCCAAAGTTTAACAAGTGCAAGGCATGTGTTTTTATGAGCCTCAGTAGTTTTCTTAATCATTAAGCAGTATACAGTAGGATGTAGTGTACACCAGCAAGCTATTCTGTGTACTGTACCAAGAAGCTTTACTGTTGGGCATAAAAGGCTTACGAACAGATGATGGGGACTAAAACTTATACAGCTGCAGTCCTTTTGTGTGTGCTTGGGAGTTAATCAGTGCGTTAACACAGCTAAACCAATGACATTTACAAGGCTGGCTCTGTGTCTGAGTGAGCAAATAAATTAACCTCAAAGCACAATCACGTAAGGGCCTTGCATTTACTTGAGCAGCAAGAAATGCTACTATGACTAGACAGGAAAGAGAAGTATTACCACAGTGAGAACAATACCCTTTAGATCCCTTAGCAGCTGGATGTGGTTCCTTACATTAACATAGAGAATACAATTTGCTGGTCAGCAGTTCTGTCTGCTGTAAGATAGGGTGACAGCTTGCAGAGTGGCAGCTTCTTTGGTTCATTGCTGTAATAATTGTGTTGTTGCTGACTTGGTGAGAGAGAGAAGTATTGCAGCATCGTACAAAAATCTAAGCTGTCTTATGGTTTGAGATGCTAATGTCTGTTTAACATTTATTTGAATATTACATCTTATTTATATTCTATGTTTTACCTCAGCCAGATTGATTCTACTGCAAAGTGATAATCTTGTATTTTTCATTCTTCATTTACTTTTAATTCTTGCAGTCTGGAAATTTGAGGAAAGTCAAATGTAGGTCTGTGAATACAGCAGAAGGTGTATTTTTATCATCATTTAGTATAATTCTGACTGGAAGTAACCCTTTCCTGAATGTTACATCAAAAGGTCATGCATTTTCCTATGTTCCTTCAGAGAACTGATGCTATAAAACTGGAATTTCCATTAGTAAACTTTACCCTTTTCATCACAGGAAGGAATAAATGATTACCTTTTATCATTGCTCACAGGGAGACAGAATTCAAGGTCTGGGTCCTGTTTAGGAAATAGTAGGCTTGTGAAGCTGTCAGTTACATCTTTTTAGTAAGACCTAGAAAGAAAGCCTGTCTCTTTAAGGGTGGAAAGGAAGCAGAGGAAAAATCCGCTAAAAATATTTTCACTCTGATGAAGGTTGTTTTTTTCCAACAGTTATATTCCTCTTTCAAATACTTAAGTATCTAATGGCCAGTAGAGAGACTACATACAAACCATTAAGGAATCAAAGGTATTGAAAAGATAAAACACATAAGTTGTATTAAAAGCTTGGCAGTGCAAGTAATAAGGTTGTAATGCTGATATTGCTTTCAGTGCAGGGCAGACATTCCTAGCACATGTGGTTTGTGTATCCACGTCTGAGTGGGTGGTCTAGAAAACAGTGCGAAGTGCCGCAGGAGGGCTTAATTTTTGAGCAGTGCAGGATAGGCTTAGCTAGCACCTCCCAGGCTATCCAAGATAAAGCAGTTTTCTTTCAGCTTTCATGAGCAGCTAAGTTTTCACTTTGCCTGTTCATCTAAATATTCTATTTTTTTTTTTTGCAACTATATTAGTCCCCACTCAGAAGTTTCGTGCTTGCTAGGGACCTGGTTAGGTTTGGGGTGGGGTTATTTTGATGTTGTTACTTGCCTTGGGCAGGGCATGAGAAGATAGAAGTGGAACATGGTAGTGACTTTTTTATTTTCTACTTCTGTCCAACAAATATAAGCTTCTGAAATGTTTTCCCTCAAAAATTCTCTTATATATGGGAAGAAGTTAATACTGCTTTCATTAGTGTGACTTTTTGTTAGGACAGTGTATAATAAGAGGATAAATTAAGATGACGCTTCTGTGAAAGTGTACATATCTAAGATTAGGCTTGATGGAGTGCTTGATGGTCTGTTGGACCTGCAAGCAAGGTGGCCTAGCGATGTTATTTT